CATGAGACGGCAACCACGGAGACTGGAGGAAGCAGGCAATTTTGGAGGTAAAAGCATCAAGGCTATCCATGGCTAAAATATTTGCTCAGCTCCACAGTCTTGGGCAAACAGCAGTTCTTTTGCATGAGGCCACCGCACTTGGGTCAGAAAGGTGAGAGCAAGCTCAAAACTTGCCGTTCCTTGCATTGCTTATGCCTTGAGAGTTCAAACAGCGTGACAGCATTGCACTGCAACAATGCAGAACCTGCTGCATCTGCATCTGCACCTAGGTATGATGGAGCTGTGTCTGCTTCTGCTTCTCTCCCTCTGAGGACAGGATGGAGGGAAGGCCTTAATCTGCTTATGGGGTCTGGCATGATGGAGCAGTATTCAAATTTGGGTGTATTGGGTATTTGTGCCAAATTTGGTCCAGTGAATAAAATACATCCTGAATATCAGATATTTACATTACTATTCATAACAGCAGCAAAATGACAATTATGAAGTAGCAATTGAAGTAATTTTATGGTTGGGGGGGGGGGTCACCATAACATGAGGAAGCGTATTAAGAGGTCATGGCATTAGGAAGGTTGAGAACCATTGTTCTAGAACATGGCCATACAACCCGAAAACCCTATAACAACCCTATGATTGTATGATCCTATCATTCCTAAGATGACCCACACAGAGATAACCACCTTGTACTCCTGGGAGGAGCGGGGATATGTGCAGCCGTAGATGTGCAACATAAATAGGTTTTGGGGAGTCACACCTGGCTGCTGTAACCAGAGCGGCTGAACGAAGCAATGAAACACAGAGACAGAGATAAAAGGGATGGGAAGTTTGTTAAACTGAAACAACTGGCTGAACATTTTCAAGGACCGCTGGACACACTCCATATATATTTTTATAAATCAATGGTATATAGGCATCCTCTAAGTCGGGAGCCTCTCAGGACCAATAAATTTTGCTGTGAGATTTAAACCCAGTGTTTCTCGCTCCAGCCTGCTGCTTACAATGATTTCATTTATTGAGCTTTACCGCCGGCCCAAGGGGCTCAAGATGAGAGGTTTGCCCATTAGATGACGGAGAGGCAGGCAGGGTGGGTGGCCGGAAAGAGGGGGGGGGAATTGATCTCCTACAACGAGCACTGTTTGAAAATGAAATTGCTGCAAACAACGATCAAATCCATTCCCAGAGGCACAGTTGGCACAGACTTTGCAGTTTTAAGAGGAAGGCAGAGCGGTGGTGATGGGACTCTTTTGTAGGCATAATATCCAAGGCAGTGGAAGTCGTTTGGTGGGTTGGTGAGAACAAGGATATCTGGCTGCAATATTATAGATTTGTTGTTTTCCAGTATTCCCCAGCTGGTATAACACTTTTCCTAACCCAGTACCTTCAAGAAACTGTTGGGATTACAATGTCTATCGCTCACAACACCAGCTGGTTGAAGATGATAAGAATTGTAGTTTTTTTTTCATGTCAGGAGCGACTTGAGAAACTGCAAGTTGCTTGTGGTGTGAGAGAATTGGCCGTCTGCAAGGACGTTGCCCAGACATTTTACCATCCTGTGGAAAGCTTCTCTTTGAAGCTGGAGCTGACAAATGGAAGCTCACTCTGCTCCCCCGATTTGATCCGCCAACCTTTTGGTCAGCAGTCCTCCCGGCACAAAGGTTTAACCCATTGCACCACTGGGGCCTCCAAGAATTGCAGTATAACACAACTAGATTGTGCCAGGTTGGAAATAGCAGATTCTTTGCGACCATTGGAACCATTTTCAGACAAGAGCTGCCTGATTTGAGTTGTCTGACAACTGTAGAGTTACAAACACTGCTAGCTCTTGTTGTTGAAAAGCTAACTTCAGGGCTAGAGAGCCAGGGAATTCTAATACCGGTGAGCCCCATCAGAGAAAATGGGAGCTAGTAGGTGCCCAAGGATTCCAAATATTGGTTTTTGCCATTGCCCTCTATGTAGTTACTTTATTTATTTATTTATTTATTTACAGTATTGATACCCCACCCTTCTCACCCTGAAGAGGATTCAGAGAAGCAGAGAAGCAACACAATACACACATATGGCAAATATTCAGTGCTGATTATATGCTTAACAGAGACAAACAAACAGAGGTAAAGGAAGTTGTTCCCATCTTATTTCCGGCATCTTGGAGGCTGTGCTCGGCTCTGGCCACAGGGGGGTGCTGGCGCTCCATCTTCCATGCTGAGGAGCTTTCCTCCTATCGATGTCCTTAATTCCCTTTATTACCTCCCTGCTAAAAGCAGTACCCATTTATCTACTCGCATTTCTGCTTTTGAACTGCTAGGTGGGCAGGTGAGCTGGGACTAACAGTGGGTGCTCACCCTGACCTGACCCAAAATCAAACTGCTGACCCTTCGATCAGTAGGATTTTTCTGCAGCACAGTGGTTTAGCCTGCTGTGCTATGCCCGAACCTAGTTGAGCTAAACTTCTTTCTTTCATGTAAGAAACAACTTGAGAAACTGCAAGTCACTTCTGGTGTGAGAGAACTGGCCATCTGCAAGGACATTGCCCAGGAGACACTAGGATATGTTACCATCCTGTGGGAGGCTTCTCTCATGTCCCTGCATAGGGAGCTGGAGCTGACAGAGGGAGCTCAACCCGCTCTCCCTGGATTTGAACCGCTGACCTATCGGTCAGCAGTCCTGCTGGCACAAAGGTTTAACCCATTGCGCCACCAGAGGTTCCTGAGCTAAACTAAAACGAGTAAGTCTTCCCGAGGAAAAGATGGCGGTTCTATGTACTTGCATAGCACAGTCAGTTAGTTCTGGGGACTGAGAACTCTAAACCCTCTACACTAAATAACTGTTCATCACCCTAGATGTCAGTCCCACAGATCTATGTACTACTTTTCATGATTAAAGCAGAAGAAGTAATAACTTGTTCGAGGAACTGCTTCTTAATTTAGTAACTGAAAATCAATAGCCCATTAAGAAGAAACTAATTGCAGTGGCTTCTCCCCTCGCATTGCCTGGGTAAACAAAGCAGCAAGCTAATTCACAATTAATTGTTCTGCCTCTGGAAGAAGAAGAGGCAAAGCAGCTGCTTGCCTTGATGGAGCCACGGATCTTACCACCAAAAGGCACGTAGGAACATTGATCTGTTTGCAACTGGGCTTAACTGAGAATAATAAGAGAGCAGATAGGAAAGAAAGCAGAGGAGGAGAGCAGGTACATTTAGGGAACCGACAGAAAGGTGCATAGCGTTTCCAAGTCCAAAATATGTTTAGGAGCTCCTTGGACTGAATAAGCCCCTATTCCACAATGAGATCTAGGGTAAAGAGTTTGCATTGTTTGTTTCCTTTGTTTGCTGCCCCCCCCCCCCCATGTCCTATCCAAATTCCTAATTCCCTTTTACCAATTTCTGCCTATGCCATAAAAACATAGAGAGAAGCTGAAGTCCAAACCAAACTCGGAGTGGAATCATAGTATCAGGGAATCATAGTGTTGGAATAGACCTCATGGGCCATCCAGTCCAACCTCCTGCCAAGAAGCAGGAAAACCCATTGGGTCCCCAAATCTGTGGGCAGAGGTGGCCCTAGGTAATTTTCAACAGTAAGCAAACAATATTTTGGCGCCTCCCCCCCCCCCC